ACTGACTAAAAACCCCCCTGTTCCTTCTCCTGCTCTGTGCCGAGGTCGCGGTACCTTATTGCGCTTACCCCGCAACCCCGGCTGAACATCAGCCCTTTAGGGCCCCGTCTGTGGTGGTCTATTGGCTCTTTGAGGCGCGCGCGGAACGCTACGCGCCGTACGCTCGGGCCTGGTTCTGGTCGGGCGGCGAGCTGCCCTTACTCGCCGACCGCAGGCCCGTACTTACGGTGGCCGGAGATCGTCCCTCGATCCCCGACGCCCGTAGTGTCGCCAGTTGCGGCTGCTGGGGCGTGAGGAGGAGGATTGCTCCCTCACGCGGGCCGCCTCTCTCTTTGCGAGCATGACTGCTTCACAAAAGGAGGAGACGGCGTCCCAGTTCCTCTCACTCCGCACCATGGCCTCGACTAAGGCCGGGCGCGAGAGGTCGCCGCCGCCGATCACTTCCCTGAGGATACGGCGGTGCTCAGCCCAGGCAGGGCATACCGCTACCGTATGCTCCACCGTATCCTCTAGGTGGTCCTCACAATGACGACACTCGGGCGTTTCCTCCCGCTGAATCCGAAACAGGAACCTACCGAAGCTGCCGTGCCCGGTAAGCACCTGCGTCAGACGGAAGGTGAGGACGCCGTGGCGTCTCTCAAGCCACTCCTCAAAGAGGGGTCTTACCGCTGCTATGGTAGCGTGCCCGGCCCTCGGTTGCGACAGTCGCTGTCTCCACTCTGCCATGAGATCTCGCCGGAGCTCATTCCGCCACGCACTTATTTGGCGCGGCAAAGGATCTTCGCCCCGGCTACGCGCGTCTGCGCGCAAACTGTAGACGCGCGCGAGCGCCTTCGCTTCTAGATCCCACGGCGGTGATCCGGCAAGGAGGTTCGCCGCCTCCCCGGAGATCGTGCGATACCCGCGGATTACTCGTATAGCCATGACCCTCTGGGACGCGACCAGCGTACGAGCCGGCCGCCGCTTCAAGTCCGGCGCCCACACAGGGGCACCGTAGAGGGCCATGGATCGCACAATTCCCATATACAACCTCCGGCAGGAGGCGTTTGGCCCCCCGAGGTTGGGAAGGAGCCGCTTGAGCGCGGCCCCAGACCGTTCCAACTTAGGGGCCAAACGACGAAAATGCTCCGTGAAGTTCCATCGGCTGTCGAGGACGAGACCCAGGTACTTCATCGCCGACTCGACGCCGATGGTAACTCCTCCTGCCGTTACTTGGGACCCACCTGGAGGTGGCGCGCTCCGACGGCCATAGAAGTACATGGCCTCGGACTTGTGGAGCGCCACCTCGAGTCCCAACTGCCGGATCCTTGCAACGACTGTCGCAACCGCTTGTGACATCAGGTCGGCCGCCGCCTGATGCGACCTCCCGTTCGCCAGCACCAGCGTGTCGTCAGCATAGCAGACAATGCTGACGCCGCTCGGGAGGTCGGTGCGTAGCACCCAATCGTACCCGATGTTCCACAGGAGAGGTCCCAGGACCGATCCCTGTGGGACACCGCGCGACACCTCTCGCCGATTCCACACGCCCCGGTGACCGGGGTAGATGACACATCTGTCCGTCAAGTAAGCCTCGACTACACGACGGAGATAGGCAGGCACCCGGTGGTACCGGAGTGCCTCCAAAATGCAGCTCCAGGGCAGCGAGTTAAAGGCGTTGGCGATGTCCAGAGACACCGCCACGACGACTCGCCTCCCGGCCAACGCTGTCCCCGTCGTGAGGTCCCTCACGCGCATGATGGCGTCCACCGTGGAGCGCCCTCTGCGGAAGCCGAACTGGCCGTCCGCTAAATCCGGCCCCCTTCCAGACAGGTGCCCGACGAGGCGGTCTGAGATTATCCTCTCGAACAGCTTTCCCACCTCGTCGAGCAGCACAATGGGCCGGTACGCGGACGGAGAGTCCGCAGGACGCCCCGGCTTCTTCACGAGGACCAGTTTACCCGTCTTCCACGACAGCGGAAACTGGCCTCTCTCCAAACATGCGCTGAACAGACCAAGTAGTCGAGGCCTGAGAGCCTCCGAGGCCAGGACCCAGACCTTGGCATGCAGCCCGTCAGGTCCTGGGGCGGTATTCTTGCCGCTCAGCCGGCGCACCGCCACTCTCAAATCTACCTCGGTCACTTCCGGAGCGGATTCGTCGTCGTCGTCGATGTAGCCCGCATTGGGCACCGCAGGGGGCGGGGGCATAGCCGGAGGCGTGTAACCCATCTGTGGTCGGGGGAATAGCGCCCCAACCACTTCGTCCACGACCTCCGGCCGGAGACTCTGAGTCAGTGGGGGCGCCCAGGTGCGGAGCTTATCACGCACCATCCGGTAGGGGCGTCCCCACGGGTCTCTGTTCAGAGTCTCCAACATCTCCTCGCGGGCCCGATCTTTGGCCCGCCGGATCTCCACCCTGAGGGTGGCCTTCGCCGCCCTGTACTCCTCGTATAGCTCCGCCTCTCTGGTTTCGGCGTCCAGAGGGCGGAGACGGAGCCTGCGGTACCTGGTGTATCGGCGTCGCGCTGCGGTGCACTCACCGCGCAGGTCTGCCAATTCCTGCGACCACCAATACACCTGGCGCTTGCGTTGGCACGGTCGGATCCGGGGCATCGCCACGTCGCACATCCTTGACATGGCGTCCTGGAGCCATCTCGCCTCCTCGTTAATGTCGGCTGGCCTGACCGGTGGTATCACCCAGGCCTGCACGACTGCGGCTTCCAGGAAAAGCTCCCGGTCCAGTTGCCTAAGCGCCCAACGCGGGCCACACGGGGCCTGTCTGACTGGCGGGTCTGCGGACTCGGCGGAGACGTCGAACCGTATATACCGGTGGTCCGAAAACGTCTCCACCTCCTCCATGACGCGCCAGTCAACAACGCGCGATGACAGAGCGGGGCTAGCAAACGAAATGTCCACCACTGACTCGCCCCGCATCCGTACGCACGTGGGGACAGAACCCCGGTTCAGCACGACTAGGCCTGTCTCCAGAGCCCAGTCTTCGACCATCCTTCCCCGGACATCAGTGAGCCGGGAACCCCAAGCCAAATTCTTGGCATTGAAGTCCCCGAGGACCAACACGGGGAGGGGACGGAACCCGACGACGACGGTGACTAACTCCCTGAGGGAGTTGTGGAACTCGACGAGAGTTCGGTTCGGAGAGAAGTACACGCCCACCACGGCGATCTCTCCGAACCGAGCCGCGACGCAACCCCTGCCTCGCTGAGGCCCTTCGGGGGTTGGGGTACCGGCGGCGGCCGACGAGATGATGGTCACCGAGCCGTCCAGGTCTGACACCCAGTGTTCCCTGGCTGGAACGAAGTACGGCTCGGAGACCACAGCAACATTGATCGACCACTGCGCCATGCTCTGGAGCAGGAGATCCTGAGCAGCGACGCAGTGGTTGATGTTCGCCTGGAGGAGGCGTAATGGAGCCATTATTGGGTATCCATCACGACCTCCTCTCTGACGGCAGCGGCGACAGCAGCAGTCGCAGGGGTGTTGGCGACTGCGGCGGCAGCGGGAGCGACGGTGGGAGCGGTGGAGGTGGCTAAGGGCCTACCTTTGCTCCTGGGCTTTTTAGGGGGGGAGCAGGTTTTGCCCCCAGCCCGGTGATCGGCCGGCTTGCCAGCCGCCGCACATACTACGCAGTGCGGCGGGGCGGTACAAGCGCCGGCCCTGTGACCGGGCTGACCGCAGCGGAAGCAGCGGTCGCTGCGGTCCACCTCTGAGGTGCATTTGGCACCCACATGATGGCCAATGAGGCAGCGGAAGCACCTCAAAGGTCGGGGTTCCAGCAGCTTCACCTGCGCCGAAACCCAGCCCACCAGGAGCCTTTTGCCCTCTGCCAGCTTTTTGGCCGCTGTGACGGGGCAGCTGACTACCACAGTCCGCAGCCCCGTATTGTCCGGGCGGATAGTGCCTGCCTTGACCTGGTCAGCAGGGCACCCCCCCGTCCTGGCGACAGCGGCCGCCACCTCATTCTCCGTCACGGAGTCGTCCAGGCCCATGATGCGTAGCTCCAGGCATTTGGTGGGCCTGGACACGCGAGCTTCGTCCGCCGCAATGCACGCCCTGAGCCTCTCGGCAAGGGCGTCAGCGGACGGGCCGCTGGCCGCGCCGGGGACCTCCAAGAGACGGGCTCCAGTGGCAGTGACCCTCACTGCGAACCCGTCGGGTGCCCCAAACTCCGCGGGAGTTACCGCCCCCTTCAATTTGGCGAGGACCTCGCCATACGTCACCCCCTTTTTCGCCGCGTCCGGCTGTAGTGTGATAACTACAGCCGAAGATTTTGGGGCGAGGAGCATTGCCGCAGCGCGCTTCTCCTTGCGCCGCTGCTGTCGCCGCTGCCGCTGCTCCTTCTTCCGGAGCTTCCTCCTCTCTTTGGCGACCTTCCTCACCTCCCCCGCCACTTGCCACTCGCTACCAGCACGCGACTCAGACGGCGGAGTAGGTGCCGATGCGGCTGGGGCTCCAGCCGCTGCTCCTCTTCGTCTGCGGCTCATCGGCGCAGGAGCCAGCGCCGAGGGAGACTCGGGCGCCCTCGTCGGTGACAAGGCTGTCGGCGCTTTCGCTCCCTTCTTCACCGGTGCGCTGGCTTGTGCCCCACGGCTGGTTGGCGGCTTGGGCTTAGCCGCTGCGGCAGCATACGACCCGGCTGCGAGTGGAGGTCGGAGGAGCCTACCCTCCAGCACGTCGAAACGCTGCTGGAAGGCGGCCATCTCCCGCCGCATAAGGCCGAGAAGGTCGGCCTCAGCTGGCTGCGAGGGTTGGGGACGACCCGCGCGAGCAGCGGCGAGTTCCGCCTTTGCTGCACGAAGTTCCGCCTCCAGGGCAGAGTTCGCAGCCGCTAATCGGGCCAGCTCGCGCCTCATTCCGGCCATCTCTTTTTGCAGAGCGGTCATCTGCCGCTCTGCTGAGCCCTGCTGGGATACCGCCGACATTATAGCGGCCTCCGCGTGCTTAAGAACTCCGTTCCTGCCAGCCTGGGTTTTTTTCCCAGCCAGCATGCGGAGTGCTTCCTTAACCTGGAGGCGGAGGCTCTCAGCGCCGCCTACAGCATCCTCACCGCCGGACACCTCCATCTCCGAGGAGTCCGAGGGGGCAGCCTTTCCCAGGGCGCTCCCCTCCGCTGCCAGCCGCTCTGCCGGCTCAGATCGGCTCCCAGCCGCCCTTGTGGAGCCCTTCCCCTTGCCCCTACCCCGCGCAGCCGTGGGGATTTTGGGGGCTGGGGCCTCCTGCTCGTTGGAGGACGGCTCTCGACCATCCTCCAGCCTGGGACGTTTAAAGACGCCCCGGTCTTTCTTGTGGCGCAGCGCGATGCTGACGCCAGACAATGATGAGTCGGACTCTGAGTCCGACTCCTTCCTCCCCGGGGCCCGTGCACGGGACTTGCTGGACGGGACCAGCGCCTCCCCACGAACCCGAGAGCCGCCCTGGCCCTCACTATCGCCTCCAAGCGAGCTAACCTCGCTTGCCTTCTCCTCACCGGTAGGTGGATTTTTATTTTGGTTTTTTTTAGACATCTCCATTGAAGTCCCACGAGTATGGGGGAAATAAGAGGTCCGCCCAGGGAGAGCCCCCTGTCCCTGGGTAAGTGTGCATTTGTCTCCCAACTAGGGGGTCCACCGGTCCCCTAGCTGGGGGTGCGCTCACGACTGATCCTACTCCTCAGCCATACATACCCTCGCCGCGCACCAGAACTTAGTATTGGAGGAATTTTTTATAGAGGTTCTCTTCCTCGCGGTCCGGGCGGTTAAGCCAAGACCCTCGTCCCGGTCCGAGTCATAAAACATGACCATGATCTCTTCCCGGATTACGATATCGGCGGGTGCAGTCGGGCGCAGCTAGTGCCCCGATGCTACTCATTGGCAGGGTGAGTGCACAACGAGCGCCGCCCTTGTTTCTCCGCCCCGCTCTCTGCTAGGTCCAGAGAGTCGTGCGGAGGAACGCCCCCACGGAGGCTTAGACCCTATGACAGCATAGAGCCGGTCGCCTCTAGAACCCGACCGGGTTCTCCGCCCGGCCAGAAGTTCGCTGCGGGCGACAGTCAAACCAACCCTGTCGCCATCCCGTTAGGGAGACTGTCGCCCGCACCCAGGGTGCACCACGGGGAGGTCTTCTGGCACGCACCCCTCACGTTAAAAGGTTAAGATCTTATTTTTAGTTTTATTGTAATTAAATATTTCACTATGAGGTATGTCATAATTATGTAAAAAAATGAATAACCCTTTCTTTATTACGGGTACAAGCAATGGCTGCATTATTGCCATAAAATTGAATGTAAGTAACAATGAAGTAGAGTCTATAAAGTCTGTGTATTGAGTTTTTATTTTCTTGGTAGTCTATCAAATAATAGTGCAGATTGTTCATTTAACAGAGTTTAAAGTTATTCTGGACCATGTGTTGTAGTAACAAGCAACCATCACTTTATGCCTTCCCATAACTTGAACTTTTAGGAGTTCTAACTGAAAATCCTGCTTTGTGCTAATAATGTAATTTTTATGTGTTTTGTTTGTATATACGCAACCACGTATTAAAACAATATTCACATAAACAGAACCCAATTTTTGCAACTACTACGCAGGTGTACGGACTCCTTCATAAAATACGTTTCTCATCTAGAATCCTTTCCAATTTGGTCTAAACGTATTGCTACACAAACAAAAAACGGTAAAAAAATATTTTTCCAGCACTCCGAACCGTGTACCGTAAAAGAGTATTTATTTACTCAATAACCGCATACCTGTTACAAGTAGTTTTGAAATGTTCCCCACTAGAATTCGTACGAAACTGGTATTGTCTCGGTTAGGTAAATTTGTTAGTAAAACTTGGGAACTTGGCCTCGCCGAATTTCGGTCTCGAACCACGATAATTGGGTTCGGCAACAATTTTGCGATGGCGGTTAGAGTTCGTAGATGTAGGAATGCGAGAAGCCCATATTTGAAAGTTTATTGTTAATTTTGGGACGGTCATTGGTATGTTTGTATGTGGTAGTTAATGCGTACCAAACCTTGATTGGTGCGTAGGAAGTTTGATACTTGGAAATGTAAACGCGATGTTTGTAACATCGTATTAAGGATCCAACATTTGCCATCATAACTTATCTTCTGCTCCCTTCAATATTTCAAAAATCAATGAAGATTTACCAGGCCCTATCTAAATAGCATACCGTTTTTTTAATTTTATTTTTAAAGAAAAGTTGTCCTAAAAACTAAAATTTTCTCCTGTATCGTGGTGCGTTACAAACATACAATTTCACATGCACATTCAGGGCCGGAACAAGAATTTATGGATCGCACAAAGATTTGTTCCATGCGGTAATCGAACCCTCGACACATAACACGGCAGCCGGTTGCCCAGCCACCGCATCAACCGTGCAGTTATACCTAAAGTGGCCGAATCAATACAGCAATCAATTCTAAATTAAATGCGTTAACCCTTAATCCAGATTTTGCCCAAACTGATGAAAAATCAGGTACCATTTTATTGAAACAAATTACATAAACAGTTACCTTTGCGTTGTGGGGGCGGAGCGGGACTAGGCAGTATGCTATTAAGTTTTGTGAACACATGAATAATTAAGCAAAGTTGGTTAATGGTTTGGAACACGTAAATTGTAGAAAACTAAACTACTCGTACGAGGATTATGACGCACTAAAGGTTAAACTATACAAACAACGCTATGATGTCGTTAGAACCGATTTTGATCAATACACTGCGCTATTTTTGGGCATTGGAAGGACATGTATAACCCCATCTGTCGAAAAAATATTAAAGACTGCTGACATACTACACACAGGTCAATATTTTTGCTTACTTCTTTCTTTCTTATTTTTTTGTTTTCTTGCTTATGTCTGTTCCTTATATGTATATTAGAATAAATAAGCTGTTTTGAAAATCAGTTACGTAACTCCAATTTCTTTTGCTGCCGAACCCTTCGTGAGTTTACACCTGATTGAACGATCGACGGAAAAGTTAATTCAAACGAAGTTATTGATCAAAGTAATGTCCATGTTAACCACATCATAGGACACAATTCAAAAAAACTTTCTAACAAAAAAGTCAGGATTATGTAAAGCACATAATACAGATAACATATCAAGCCATCAAACATGAAACGTTAAGGTTTGAAAGAAAACTAAAGTCGGGGGGCTTCAATCTCAAACCATCATACGACTTCAAAAGAATTAGACGCTCTGTTTCCCACGAAGGTTGAAAGATACAAAGTTGATGCTTCCCAAGAACATGACATTGCTTTTGTTCGGCATGACAACGGTTGGACATGTGCGGGCAAACCCGGAAATAACGGATATGAAGGTTTTAATACTCTTACATTTTTGATCTAGAGCAAAGCCTTTTGAATATTTTTGAAGGGATAAAGATTTCGTTTTGATTTGTATCAGCTAGTCAAAACGTGTTGGTGAAGTGTGGATTTCTGATTTGGTCAGTGGGTTTTATGTCGTGAAAAGATATCGCAAACAGACATGTCTTTCAGGATACTTACATAACTCGGACCCTAAATAAATGTATTTAGTAAATAGACCCGATTTTAGATGATTTCATGTTTAGATGGAGGAAATTGTGTAATTGACTATAATCTTAATATTCATAAGTTAACTCAATTATAATCCTAATGCGAACTCTGTAGAGCAACGTAATAAAATTATCAGCATTACAAAAAGGTTCACAAAACACTGGAATAATTAGCTCCAGAACTGTACACAATAGGCCTTGGATAAACCGCTTTGAAAATGTTTCTAACTAGGAACTAGACTTACCATATTCCGGACATATGATGCAAAAACCCACAGCCAGGAAAAAGCCGATCACTTCGCCACAGAATCCTTTGAAGGCCATTTTTACCCTTTTTGTTTAACCAACGCTCGCTTTTACCGACATCTTCACTCTTTCTATTTTTCACAATTTTTCACTAAAAACCCCTCAGCACACTCATCGTTCTTTGTATAACGTCCGACTTTTTAATCGACATCGTTCTTCTGAGGAGAATTTGTCTTCCGACGTTTCGGCTGCGAAACGTTGCGGTTACATCTGGAAAAGAGAAAGGTCATTTTAAAATTTCATTCTGCAAAAATGCAAAAATGTTGGTGCTTGCTGCTTTCATACTTAGATCTATATTTCGATGGTGGAGTTTTCTTGCAATTATAAACTTTGGTTTTTTTACTTTTATATACCTACATAATTTATGTATATTAGCAAAAAGTCAAGGAAATTGTCTGATTGATGAAAAATTTTATGTACCTATTATCCGTATGAATATGGATTTTTCGAATATATTTATGTAGCATGTCAAATTTTGAGTCACTTATAAGCATAATACAATCCACTTGAAACCGGCACGACTACATTTTTTATATCAAAATTACAGTAGAAATAGCATAGTCTCTGAGATTCTCATCTTACTAGAATACAGTTATGAAACTATACAATCTCGCATGAAACGTGTTGGAAGCTAATTACATTACAAAATAACTAGCTACCTATATGCGAGCGAATGCGTAGGACTTCATAAGCAAGCAAGGGTTCACTAAGTTATTTTAATAACAGTTTCTACACACTCCGTTCTCAACGTTTGTTCCAAGGTTTATTTTAAATACATTATTATGTTTCCTGACCTTAAAAGTACAAAACTGATTACACTTTGTAACATCTACAATTGTACTTCTTATAAACAGGTGGACATTGATTGTTTGTTATTTAAATAATACTGTTACGCATAGTAACACTATATTTTTAGTAAGGCCGCGCCATATTCATCTAAGTTAATTTAGACACCACTGACCTACGGTGGACGAAAACAGTATGAGGAATCTTGGACTTTTGATTTCTAATTAAAGTTTCAAATTGTCAATCCGTTTTTGCTAGGCTGGTCAACCTAATTATATTATAACTTCTTATAACTTCCCCGTGTGTTAAGAGGCCTTAAGGCCGTGTGTTAAGGGGCTAAGTAGTGGATACTTTTAGGCCGATTATGGTGCGAATTAACATTTAATAAATCTTAAAAATAGAATAATGAGATTTTGTATCCAAGTTATGTATGTTTTTATTCACTTTGCTATAATAAACAGCCTCTTTAGGTAGTAAAAATTAGTTTGAAATTTCAGAGCTTCTTAAGCATAGATTATCGATTTCTACTAAAGTATTTTTTGTGTTATGAGACTAAGATACGTTTTTACCGTACATACTAACATCAAACCCAATACAAGGCTATGCATCATAAAAATATTTATGAGAGGGTTTTCATGACGCAGTTTTGGGTCAATAGAAAAAGGCCAGCCGACATTGTTGTTTCGCCATTTTCTGTACAGTACAGTATTAGTTTTACTATACACATCAAATATCAATAAAGTTATACAGCAACACTCTGAAAGCCATACAAACTATATGTGACACATAAATGGAATGTACGAAATTTTGAGAGGCTTCAAACCCTTAAATAACTCTGGAACACAATTCAATATAAAAATACCCTAACAAATAAAAATAACATTTTGTTAATTCTAAA